TGGAAGTCAGAACTAAATAATTTGAAAATGTACAGGTTTTCTATGAGACTGTTATAAATGTTAATTACAACAACCCTGAGTAGTGTCTAGTAATTTTTAATATATTTTTATTGATTTCAGAGAGGAAGGGAGAGAGAGAGAGAGAGAGAGAGAGAGAGAGAGAGAGAGAGAGAGAAACATCAATAATGAGAGAGAATCATTGATTGGCTGACTCCTGTACTCTCCCCACTGGAAATGGAGCCTGCAACCCCAGCATGTGCCCTGACTGGAAATCTAACCATGACCTCCTGGTTCATATGTCGACACTCAACCACTGAGCCATGACAGCCATGCTAAAGTAGAAGCTCTTTATTCACAACAACAGACCCCCCAGAAAATGATAAAGCCACCTATAGGTTCAAATTTCTATCCTAATTATTTCAGTGCACTGGATTCTGAATCCACACAGAAGAAGAACCCTCCCCAACAAGGCCTCATGGCTTGCCTCATGAAATTTTATCTCTGCCACTTACCAGCTGTGTGAGCCTGGGCACCTCACCTCTGTGCTTCAGGGTCCTCCTTATAAAATAGGACTGGTATTAAAGCATGACAGGTATATTTAAAGAGTCCTAGGAATTCATTCCAAGTGCAGTATGTGTATATTCCTCACAACAACCTAATGGGGTGCAGTCAATGCCCCAGCCAAGGCCATGGGGAGCACAGTTGTGGGTGAACAAGCTGTTGTTATGTCATCGCAGTGAGGGAGACACTCACTTTGGGGAATTGTGAGGCATCTCAGTAGGTGGGTGTTGGAACCAAAGAAGCAGAATCCGGAGGAGAAGTCTATTCAGAGAGTTATTGCAGGGATAGTTTACACAGTTGTGGGGAACTGGGCAAGTCCAAGATCCACAGGGCAGACCACTGTCAGGAGGGCAGCTGGAACTCTCGGCCCAGCGCAAAGCCCAGAGAAGAATCCATTCCATCAGGGAAGCCTCACTCTGCTCTGGGACTCTTTAGGTGACAGATCCAGCTCAGTCACACTATCCAGCATGACCTCTATCACTTAGTCAATGGGTTGTGGGCTTTAGTCACATCTACAAAATATCAACGTTTGTTGACTATCTGGAGACTATAACCTAGCTGACACATAAAACTGATCATTAACCTCAGGGTTTGGGCTTGTAGGTTATCTTGGGAAAGATTTGAGAAATAGAGACTTTGTTCTTAATTGGATTCTGTTAGGAAGTGGGTGCTGGGGTAGGTAGTTCTATAATTGGGCATCTTAATACATTTTACCTGGAAGGAAGGAAGGCAATACTGAAGCTAAAGCTCTAATTGGCAGAGAAGCAGCAGTCAGCTCTGGCCGGGTAGCCTCGTCTGGATATGCCAAGGTTGCGGGTTCAGTCTCAGGTCACATACAAGAAGCAACCAATGAAAGCACAAATACGTGGAACAACAAATCAATTTTCTCTTATTCTCTCTCTCTCTCTCTCTCTCTCTCTCTCTCTCTCTCTCTCTCATCAATCAATTAAAAAGTAATAAAAAGGAACAGCAGTCATTCATGCTACCCAGGAGAGAAGTGTGCTTAGCTGTTTTTGTGGCTCAGACAATGTTCATGTTCTGGTTATTTAGGTCTGTGAGAACCAGCAGGCACACCCAGGAGAGGAGATTCTGATTTCTTACCTTCCCTCCTTTCATGGAGAATTCCCTCAGTTGGAGTGGAGGCTGCATCAGAACCTCAGAACCCTGGAATTTCCCAGTCCCTGACAAGCCTCCTAATACACACTCTTCAACCAGCAACTGAGGTGTCATCACAGGGGGTGGTTTCTGATTGGCCAGAACCTGACCTACAGGGTTTAGTTTGGGGGTTATAGATTTCTTTCTCCGCTTGGTCCTCATCATTGCTCTACAACTCAGAGTAGCAACTGCTGAGACCACCTTGAGAAGAGGATGAACCTAAACAGAGCCCTGATTTGGGGGGCCCTCACCCTGACCACCGTCCTGGGTCGCTGTGGAGGTGAAGACATTGTGGGTGAGTGCTCCGCTGAGCCACGTGGGGACTGGACTGGGGAAACAGAGTTGGAGGGTAAAAAAGATAGAGATTTGCATAGAAACAGTAGTGATTCCTCAAAGGCATCCTCAATATTAAGCAGATCCAAAAATTATGGTCCTTCCTCCTTTGGGAAACCAGAGTCCCCATCCAGTCTCTGCTACCTGAGCTGTTGCACACTGCACCACGGCCATCATCCTGGTTCTTATGTTGGATCCATGAATATAGCCGGGAGGCTCTATGGTTTTCATGCGTGATTGCCTCAAAGATTAGGGGTGTTTTCACAAATGGATGTTCTGTTACTAAAATTCATGATGAACCATTGCTCCCAAATTTTTCTGACCAACTTTTGGAGCTTTATGAATATTTCTCCTGTAGTTTACCTTGGGGTAAAGAGTTTCATGAATTATGTGTTCTATGTAGATATAAAGAAGGGTTCTTTTCTTTGTCTCAGATTCACATACATTTCCAAGCTGAGAACTGGCACGGGTGGGGAGTGGGAAAACAACCCAGTGAGGGCCTAAAGACAAGTCATTTTATCACATGGTTTTCACTTACTCTCAGTTACCGCTTATGCGTCACCTTACAAAAAATCAAGTAAAGTAGGTATTACGTGTGCTTCCCAAGTAATGAAGAGCAATAAATGTCAATGATATTTAAAATTACTACTATTACAGGTATAGCTGTATAATTATTCTTTAACAAAGTAGGGAATATCTTTACTTTTATTTTAAAATTGTGAACTTTATGATGAAACATGGTGAATTAAATTACATTAGTCTCAAACTGTCAGCCCAAAAGGCCTGTCCTTTACCACATCTAAGGAAGCTCTGTAAGAGGAAGATTGGGCATCCAATCATGGTTTGGTCCCCTGGGCTACTCCACCTCTGTTGCTCACCTTTCCACCCTCTCTTCATCATTCCTTTACCCTCCTTTCTTTCCAGGATCTATTCCTGGTTCTTTTTCCTGTTGTTTTATTGGCAAGAAGAGTAGATTCACAAAAGCAAAGTAGAAAAACCAAGCACTGTAGTTCAAAGGGGAAATGAACTAAAGGTTACTCTGATCTTCAATGAGGTTATTAACCACTAGAGTCCCAGTGCACGAATTCGTGTAAAGGTGGGGTCCGTCAGCCTGGACAGGGATAGGGCTGCTGAGGGCCATCTCGCCCAGTCTTAATCAGGGCCAATCAGGGCTGGCCTGCCTCAGGGAGGGACCATAGGAGGTTGGCTGTGGGAGCGCACTGACCACCAAGGGGCAGCTCCTGCATGGAGAGTCTGCCTCCTGGTGATCAGTGATCATCATAGCAACCGGTCAACCAGTCGTAACAGTCCCTTAGGCTTTTAAATATATAGATGGCTGCTCCCAAGCTTTCTTGGTTTGGTAGGAAAGTTTTGTCTGCTTCTCCAGAGTACGTCCACGTCCCCTTTTCTCAATGTCACTCCAGAGTGCTCTGGTCTGGCTTGACGTACCCCCCACAGTGGGCAAAGGGCCAAGGGCCCGCAATGCCTATAGGACCCCATAAAAATGTTTTCCTTTCTTTTAAAATTAGAAGAAAAAAATGAACTTTTAGGGTAAAAGAAACTAGTTTAATTTAGCCTGAATTATATTTGCCTTTATACCAATATGGTCATAAAATATAAGCTTTTAATATTTTTATGGAAAAATAAAAGCCAATCTAACAACAGTGCTTAGGGCTTAGGAGTCATAATGCAGCCATCACCACTGAGTCTAACTTTCACAGGATGTTGCTACCTTCATGTCTGTCAGTCTTCCCCAAATCTTTGTAGTCCTGAAGAATAGCAATGACATTTGCTACACAGTTTGAGCACCAGGAGCTCAGTGCTGGGGACTCAGATGAAGAGACATGCTGTCTGCCCCTGGAGGGAGCTCAGATTAGCGATAGGACAATACTGTGCCCAGAGCAGGGCAGCTGCTGCACAGGACAGTGGGCCCAGTAAGACTGAAACGGAAAGTGAGTAGTTCCAGCTGGCGCAGTGAGGTCCCTCAGCAGCAGCGTGCAGCCAGGACACGTGCAGATGAAAAGGATAATCACATATATTCATGTTGGAAATGGAATCAAGAGGATTCGTTACAAGGACAAGAAGGCTTTGATGGAGGGTCCTTTAAGTGGCCAACCAAGGGGGTCATGCTGGGTGGGGATGAGGAATAAACTTGCAAAGAGGACATTTGGATGGAGGGGCTGGAAATCATAATGTGGTCAAAATTATGTTTAATGAGGGGACTTAGCTAAGAAGTTGGTAACTAAGCAGACACTTCAAGAATGAACTGGAGGTGTCCAGAAAATCCTAGAAGATAATTTGAGGGAGGAAAACAGACCCTTGTAAAGACCAAGGAGCATGAAAGTTTAATGTCTGGTTTGAGTGGCAGGTGAGGTATTTGTGGAGGACTCAGCACACTACACCTATTGGCTCCTTACTCACCCGACTCCCCTATTCATGAAGCTCCTCGCTGGCAGAGACCATGCATGGTCCGTGTTATACTCCTCGCTCCTGGCAATGTCTGAAACCTTGTTGAAACTCAGGAAATGGAAGGTAGGGAAGAGGAAATGGTAAAAGGCTCAGACAAGTTGTCCAGTCATGCCCACCTGGGAGTCAGCTGCGCTGGCTGCCACAGACAAGTACACTGTCCATTCGAGGAAAGGGCTAGAGTTTTCCCGGAGTCCCCAACAAGGTAAGTGTTGAGTCAGAAAAAGGAGAGGTTTAGTAACGTCCTTCAAGAAAAGAAGAGGGTGGGAAATGACAGGAATCCAAAGTGTAATGAAGTTTCCAGTTTCATTTCAGAGGAAACCAGGTGCTTTCCCCTAAGGACCACCCTGTTACAGAAGCAGAGACCTTAGCCTTGGCTGGTTGCTAAGTGGTTAGAGCATCAGCCTGCACACGGAAAGGTCATAGGTTTGATTCCTGGTCAAGGGCAGGTACCTGGGTTGCAGGTTCATCTCCAGAGCCATGTGTGGGAAGCAGCCCATCAATCTGAGAGGATTCTCTCTCTTTGTCTCCCTTCCTCCCCTCCCTCCCACTCTCGCTCAAAAAAATAAAAAAATAAATAAATATACTCAGGGCCCTAGCCAGTTTGGCTCAGTGGATAGGACATCAACCTGCAGACCAAACGGCATGGACCTCAGTTGCAGGCTCCTCCCAGCCCAGGACCTGGTTAGGGCGAGTACAGGAGGCAACCAATCAATGTGTTCTCTCACATCAATATTTCTCTCTGTCTTCCTCTCTCTCTTACACTCTCTCTAAAAAAAAATCAATGGAAAAATATCCTTGGGTAAGGGTTAAACTAATATACTAGATATATATATATATATATATATATATATATATATATAT